CACACACACACACACTGAACCAACTCAAAAACATACATACACACACATATACACACACACACGCACGCTGCCGCTTTCTTCATGCCTATTACTTGAATGACTGTATTGTACAGTAAATATTGCACATTACAATTGATCACTTTATATATTATATCACACAATTTTCCTATTATATGTCTATTTATCTAAGTTATCTTATTCATGTCTGCACAGGAAAGCGAGAAACGAAACTTCAATTCTTTGTATGACCAACGCATGTAAAGAAATTGACAATAAAAGCCTACTTGATTTCTCTCCTGACAATGAGACTCCTGCTAATTTAATGCTCTTTGACAAGTAGTTCCCACAAGTTTCCCTCTGGCCTATTTATTAGGCCTTTTTCTGCAATGTGTACACACACGGATACAAACACTAATATATTGAATGGAAAATTGCAATTTAAAATTCCAACAAAAATTCCAACTTTATCTTACAGGAAGTGATATTCCAGTGAAATTTGAGGCTTTCAAGTTAAGTTCCCAGGGAAGTTCATAATCAAGATGAGACGACTTCCTTGTGAAGGAAAAAAGGCTACAAGGAAAATACTGTGAAATTTGTCAGTGTGAAAGTATTTCTTCATCTTGGAACGAGACTTGGAATGGAAAACATGTAAACCATTTTCCAAAATGAAAATAACTGTCAACAGAAAGTCATGTGAAAAATGACATGCAGCCTCTTGGCAAATGTCTGAAGTTTCCAACGCGGTGCAACAAGCAAACACTTGATCCTCTGAGCGTTAAAGGCTCAAATCAGGATCTGATCAGGTCACCTCAGGAGTTCACCGGTAATCAGAGATGGATCTCAGATTGAGCCGAGGGATATAAAGATGATACCAGCGGTTTTATATGCGTGTGAAAATGTTTCCACAAACACGTCTGGATAGATGTGGTTTGGTTTTTACTGTTAGCTGTGGTTTGAAAAAAAAGGAAAACTTTTTACTGCTGATTATTTTTATATTTTAGCTGGAATAGTGGTATAAGATGACACGATTTAGACCTCTATTCTTTATAAAGAAAGGGAACCCTGTGTGTGTTTTCCCTTTATCCTCCCGTGTGCGTGTGTGTTATCTCTGCTGCTCAGACCCCACAAAGCCACCGGCCGGATCGGGCCTTTCTTGTTTAATTAAAAGCTTTCCTGTTTTTTTTACATCCAGAAAGGGCAGGAGTCAAACTGTCTTATTTCCCACATTCTGAACAGTAATTACAGGATTAAACTCATTTTGCTCTGACATGTTTTTCTTTTTACTCTCACTCTCAGCCGAAGTTTAATCTGGAATCGTCAAGATTTTGAATCGATTTGGGACTATATTGGAAA